TATGCCAGATTTGCCAGCCGCCTTTAAGCGAGGAAACATAGCTTAGTGGGTGCGCAAAAAAGTCATGAATGTTGTTCTGCAGAACATAAAACTCACTTATACAAACAAAGTTCATGAAGTTTAACGTTAGCTTTAGAAGCATCACCATGAAAACACCTTTTGTCCAAAAATTAGAAGCAGCAGTTGTGAAGTTGCTGTTGATTATGGAAGGTTTTGAATGATTAATTGAAAGATAAGATGTTGTTCCTCAAGCTTTTATAGAGTTTTCATTGAAACTGTGTCGGAGGCCGAATTTAGACTGAGGATGGAATACTTCCCTGCAATTTGAGTTATTTATGCATGGTGATAGTTCAAACTTGGTGAACTATGGTGCCTGTTTTACACCATAACTTTAAAGCTTTAAACAATTTTAATTATGATTTCTTTGATCTTGATTAGTTGCTCTGTCTAACTGTGTGCACTTAGATTGTACATTTGTCTTGCTGCAAACAGCTTTGTTCATTTTGGACGTGTGTGTGTGTGAGAGTGAGATTGTAGAATAGTTTTTTGAACAAATGATAGAGATTGCTATTTCATCAATATTGTATGATTGTGTTTTAAAAAGAAGCTGGATTCAGTGTGCTAACTGAAAGTGAGACAGTCCAGCCTGGGAAATGGTTGTGTGTTGCTTAGAGGTAACAGGGGAAGGTGATAGCCTGGTGGCATTATTGCTCGACTGTTAATCCAGAGACCCTGATAATGTTCTTGGGACCCAGGCTCAAATCCCACCTTAGCAGATAGTGGCATTTGAATTTTTTGTAAAAGTCTAGAATTAGGAGTCTAATCATCTAATGATGACCATGAATAGATTGTTCGCTAATGCCCGTTAGGGAGGAAAACTACCATCCTTACCTGGTCTGGCTTACATGTGATGCCAGACCTTAATTGCCCCCAGGCAATTAGGGATGGGCAATAAATGCTAGTCTAGCCAGTGATGCCCTCACTCCATGAAGGAATAAAAAAAACACTAGCCAAGTTAGTAATGTGATCTATGCAGATTGAAACCGGAATAATTGAGAGATTGTTCAGTGTTGTGATTTGAGTGATAACCATGCTTGTTTTTTCCCCTCTCTTGTTTTCGTGTGTTAAGTAATTTAATCCAATTTTCTTGATATACTTTGAAATCAGGATCGTAAGGGGTTTGTGACAGTTGGTGTGGTAGAGGAGGTAAATCAAAAATGTTAAAAACCAGTTGCTCAAATATGTAATCTGTATAATTAGGATGTTAAATTCTTTTTGTGCAGTTGTGTACATAGATTCTGTCATACTTCTGTGCTTTACTCCCGATTTGCCATTTTGATAATGCCTGGCATGTAACCCCAGAGGTAGCAGTCGAACTTGCAATGTTCAATATCCCTACAGTAGGTAGCACTGAAACTCCAATATCTGTATTTCCCACCAGACAGTACAAATGAAATAAAAATTATTGGCCCCCATCTCTTATTCCTGTTTCTGTATTGCGATTTAAAGAATTATTTTCTTGGCTATTCCTTGGTTGTCTACTTCTTTTGAATGAAATGATCAATGAAGTTTTTTTTTATTGACTCGTGGGACATGGGCATTGCCCGCTGGCCATTATTTATTGTCTGTCTCTACTCGGCCTTGAGGTGGTGGTGAGCTGCTTTCTTGAACTGCTGCAGTCCAAGGCTGTAGATTGACCCACAATGCCCTAATATTAGTGTTTGTTGGCACTTTCAAATATTTGATGCTTTCAGTCTTTTGAGGCCTTCTGACATGGTAGTTAAACTTTACAGCTTTAACCATATCAAAAAGACTACTTCTGTTATCAAACCCTTGCAGTGACAGCTGTTTTAAAAAGTAAACTTGCAGTTTTGCAGGAATATTGAAGGTTATGTGGCAGAGATAAAAGAAATGTTGAGGGATCTTAACACGGATGTGATTAGATGAGATAACACAGTATGGAGCTGGAGAAGCACAGTAGGCCACGCAACATCAAAGGAGCAAGAAAGTTGACATTTCGAGTCCTTTTCTGAAGAAGGGATCTGACCTGAAACGTCAACTTTCTTGTTCCTCTGATGCTGCCTGGCCTGTTGTGCTTCTCCAGTTCCATACTGTGTTATCTCTAACTCCAGCATCTGCAGTTCTTGCTGTCTCTATGTGATTAGATGAACCTGGTTTGACAACTGGCCTGTCAAAGGATAGTTAGTTGGACTAGAACCAACATTGGCTTACTTGGTCAGAATCTTTGTTGTGGTGTTCCGATTGTACAGGCAAAAATTGGGGAATGTTAAAGAGTTTTTGGAAGTTTAAGGAAGAATGAAGGTGCAGCATGTGTCTGAGACATTGTTATACATTTCACAATTCCTTGACGTGCGAACGTTAAAAGCTTTTTCATAAAGCCATAAGGAACTGAAGCATGGTACTATTGAGCAAATGACATTTTCAGTCCACAAAGGACAGGACGTATACAGGAATAATATAAACAACAGGCCAGAAGTGAGACAAACAGGTAAATGGTGAGGGCTAGCCCCAGAACGCAAGCATGTCTCGAATATTGAATGTCTTGTTCAAAACAAGAAAATTACAATTGATTGTACAAGTATGAGTGGAGAATTGCCACTTTGATTAATGATCATAGGGGTTCCGCTAGTAGTGTTTGAATAGTCAGTTTATAGTTAT